TAATCAATTGACCTAATTTTTCCCGATAGACTGGTTGACCTTTTCGTTGTTTACCCGTAATTAACGGTTCAAATGTTTTAGTAATTTTTCGGTCCAATTGTTCAAACAGTTGGCCCACTTGTCCCAACAGTTTCGATAGTTTCGGTTGTTTTGGTGCCAATATTTTCTGATACTCGACACTAGCATTGGCTAAAACACCGATCAATTGGGCCAAATCGTCGCCCAATAGGAACGGTAGGTCTTCAATGTCGGCTTTGCTTAGTTGTTGGAAAAATTGTTTGAACTGTTGTTTCAATTCATCTAACTGTTCCCTATTATCCTGGGCTAAACTGGTGAAACCGTTTTTAACAAGCAATTCATAGGTATCAACATTGAAGCTACAATCCAATACTAATGATATATACATAATAATAATAATAATAATAATAATAAAATTGTAATAATAATAAAATGGTAATAATAATAAAATGGTAATAATAATAATAATAATAATAATAATAAAATTGTAATAATAATAAAATTGTAATAATAATAAAATGGTAATAATAATAAAATGGTAATAATAATAATAATAATAAAATTGTAATAATAATAAAATTGTAATAATAATAATAATAATAATTAAATTGTAATAATAATAATAATAATTAAATTGTAATAATAATAATAATAATTAAATTGAAATAATAATAATAATAATAAAATTGTAATAATAATAATAATAATAAAATTATAATAATAATAATAATAATAAAATTATAATAATAATAATAATAATTAAATTGTAATAATAATAATAATAATAATTTTTAAATTGTTTAGATATTACCTTGTGCATTTATGTTAAGTGTACTGGAACCAATTAAAACCAAAATGGCTGCTAGTAATATTGGTTTGATTGCCATTTGTATTGTACATATATGAGTGTATATACTATATTGATTGATTGATTGACTGTCCCTGGTAACTAACTGTTCAAATAAACTACCGATCCTTTATATATATACTGTATACCTTGCATAAATTAATTTTTGAAACACACAAAATTATTTGCACATAATTTTCAAAAAAAAAAATATTTGCACCTAATTTTAAGCATTATCATTTTTTGTGTTGTTAATAAAATATTGACTAGGTAATGGTTTTTATTTATTTGTTCAATTAATGCAATTTCAGAATATAATATTTAAAATATTTTTTAGATTTATAATAATTAATTTACAAATCATTTTTTACATTTAAGTTTTTATTTTAATATTATTTTTATTTATTAGTAATATCATAGAAATTAATATATTTTTCTTATTAAGTTTGTAATATTCAATAAAATAATTATTAAAATTTTATTATATATATATATATATTTAAGTTTAGTTATTTTTTTATTTTTTAAATAAATTTAAATATTAAATTAAATTTATCTAGAAAAATAATTAAGTTAAAGTTTATTATTTATTTTTTTAAATTTAAACTACTTGTTTTATTTACTATTGAAATATTTATTGTATTTAATATATAAAAAAAATATAATATAAAGTTATAGGAAACATATATTAATTTAAAATATAATTAATTGTTATTAATGTTTAACAAATAAATGTACAAGTTTATATATATATATTTTTTTGTAAATGTGATTATTTAAAATATTAATACAAATAAAATCTATAGTTATTGTATTGAATTGTATTAGAAATTAAATTTAAATAACTATTTAGAAAACTTATTTGTATATATATTGTAATTATTATTATTCAACTATATTATTTTCAGTTGACTACTAATAATTATATATGCTAGCTACAATTACTTATAATATTACTTACATAAAATACCTTGATTATTAAACATTTATTTTATTATTTCAATATTTTTATAGTTATATTTGTATAATAAATTTATAATTTATTTTCTAATATTATTATAATAATAATAAGTAATTAAGTATTTTTATTTTTGGTAGTTATAATATATTTTCTATAGCTTTTAAATACTTTAATATAAAAATATAATTATATATTTAAAAAAATGTTTTAAAAGTTTTTAAGTTTAAAAAAGTTTAGTTTAAATGTAAACTTAATATTCTTTTATTTTTTTAAATATATAATAAAAGATTATTTTTTCCGATAAATTTTATTAAACTCTATAATATTTTTAAAACAAAAATCTAAATTAATTAAATATTTTATTGAATATTACAAACTTAATAATAACAAAATAGTTTAAATAATAATAAATAAATAATAATAAATAATAATAATAATAATAATAATAATAATAATAATAATAATAATAATAATAATAATAATAATAATAATAATAATAATTATAATAATAATAGAAGTAGTAGTAGTAGTAGTAGTAGTTGTTGTTGTTGTTGTAGCTGTATATTGATATATAGATTTTTGTAATTAATTTTTTATAAAAAAATAAATAAAAATTATATAATTAATTATAATTATATATAAATAATTTATGTGTAAACCCTGTGCATTAATAGTCCGGGCGCTATTGACTCTAATCCGGGAACCTATGATCAAACATTTGTCGACTTACTTAAAAAGACTGGAAATCGGACGCCATTGGCCAGAGTAGGCCAACCCCACGATATTGCCGCAGCCGTGGTATTCATGAGCTCATCGGACGCCCGATTCATAACCGGTCACAGTTTGGTAGTCGACGGCGGACTTCAATATAATATGGATTCAAATTTTTTGGAAGATTATGGATTAGAATAGTTAAACAAACAAAAAAAATATAAAAATTAATTTTTATATTTTTTTAAAAAAAATTTTAGATAAACTTAGAAATATAATTAATAAAATATAATATATTTTTTTATTAGTTAAATACTAAATATTATATATATATATTATATTAATTATATTCAATATTGTTTTATTTTTGTGTAAACAAATTAAACTATTTTTTTTTTTACTAACAGTACTAAATTAACATATATTTTATTTAACAAATTTTTAAATAGTTTGAGTGAAAAAAATAAAATAGAAAAACTAATTGTAACAAAAAAAAAAGTAGAAAATTTTAAAGTTTTTAAAAATTTGAATTAAACTTTTACTGTAAAATATAATTAACATAAAATATTAAACTAGTAATTAAGTTTTAATATATATATATAAATAAATAGCTTATATTTACAAAATAAATAAAATACCTTGATAATATAACACATAAAATATTGATAATAAATTATTTATTTTTTTATAATTACTATTTCATAATTATATTGCATTTTTTTATAGAAAAATAAGATAACATAATATAATTATAATATAATAACAATAAAATTAAAATAAAAAAAAATAATTTATTTAGTTTTTCTTTTTATTATAGTAATCGTTGAGATTATTTTAATTAAATTTGAATAATAAATAATAATTTTTGCAAATTTTGTTATATAATTGAATAAAATACTAATTATAATTTAGTAATAATCATATTATTATTATATTCAATAAACTGCTTATTTCTACAATTATATTGTATATATATAAATATAAAACATTATATTTATTAATATTTTATTCAATTATATCAAAATATATATATATTTATTTAATAATTTTAAGAAATAATTTAGTTATACTTTAGTTAATTAAAGCAAGATTATAATAACATTTAATTACTATGACTTTAGTATTTTTTTTTTGAAAAAAATAATATTTTTATTAGTATTAAAAATAATTTTATTAACAAAAATTAATAACTATTAGTAACTGCTTTTTTCATCATTATATTGCATTTTTATAATAGTAATAATAATTGTATTTATTATTGCAAATAAAAATTAATAACTTAAATTAATTAATTTAACAATTAAAATATAAAATAGAATATTATGTTTTTATAACTTTAAAAATTTTTAAACAAAATATTTTTCCACTTTTTTTTCACTATTTTAATCTAATTTAAACTATTTTTTTAAAAAAAATCTGAATCCAAATTATAATTGTGTCCACTAAACTGTGTCTGGTTAATTTTTACAATTTATTATTTTTTTAAAATTTGTTTTTTAATATAATTTTTTTAAAAACAACATTTATTCTGTTTTTTTATATATCATATATTAAATATTATTGTTATTCACTGCTGTTATTATATGTTAATTAAAAAAATACAGTTATATGTTATATATATATGTATGTATTATAAAGTTTATGATAACTTAAAAAAATTTAAAATTTAACTAATATTATTTAATGCTTTAGCCAAGGTACTTTATGTAACTATAACCTAATATTAAGCTAACTATATACTAAGTTATCTTACTTGCTCAAATTTTAAACTTTCAATTAGCATTATCTTTATAATTAAATAATAATAATACTAAACTTATTTATTAAAACTAAAGATATATATTTAATTGTTTTTATAAACTTTTTACAAATATTTATATTTTAATGAATTAATTTTATATTATAATAATAATAATTAATATATATATAATAATAATTAATATATATATAATAATAATTAATATATATATATAATAATTAAAATATATATATAATAATCTAAAAAATGCAATCTAATTGTGAATAAGCAGTTATTTTTAAAAAATTATACAAAAAATTATAATAATATAATAATTAAATTAATGACAAAATTTATTAAATAAGTCTAATAGTTAAATAAAAGGTATTAAAAAATATTATATATATTAGCTTTTAATTGACTTTTAATTGAATTTAATTATTAAAAATATTATCTTAAATTACCCAAAATATACATTGATTTTCAAACAATAAAATCTATAAATAATTCCAACAATTTTTTTAAATTTGTTAAATAAAATATATGTTAATTTAGTACTGTTTGTAAAAATTAGTTTAATTAAAAACAATATTAATTATAATTACTTAACTAAAATAACTAATAAAAAATATATTATATTTTATTAATAATATTTCTAAGTTTATTTAAAAAAATTTTTTAAAAATATAAAAATTAATTTTTATATTTTTTTTTGTTTTGTTTAACTATTCTAATTCATAATCTTCCAAAAAATCTGAATCCAAATTATATTGAAGTCCGCCGTCGACTACCAAACTGTGACCGGTTATGAATCGGGCGTCCGATGAGCTCATGAATACAACAGCTGCGGCAATATCGTGGGGTTGGCCTACTCTGGCCAATGGCGTCCGTTTTGCTGTCTTAGCTAATATGTCTAGAAATGTTTGATCATAAGTTCCCGGATGAGAATCAATACCACCGGGACTGAATTTTTTTAAATTATTTTTTTACATATAAATTATAATTTATTTTATTATTTTATAATTAACAGCAAATACTAATAATAACTACTACTACTACCACTACTACCACTACTACCACTACTACCACTACTACCACTACTACCACTACTACCACTACTACCACTACTACTACTACTACCACTACTACCACTACTACCACTACTACCACTACTACCACTACTACCACTACTACCACTACTACCACTACTACCACTACTACTACTACTACCACTACTACCACTACTACCACTACTACCACTACTACTACTACTACTACTACTACTACTACTACTACTACTACTACTACTACTACTACTACTTATTATTATTATTATTACCTGACTGAGTTAACACGTATGCCTTTATTGCCCAATTCAATAGATAGTACCTTGGTTGATTGCTCCAATGCACTTTTACCAATTATATAACTAAGATATCCTCTAAACTATACAAAAAAAATAATAATATAATATCATAATTTAAAAACTAATAAAAAAAATTTTAAAGTTATTTACTGGTCTTTCAGTTAGATTTGCTGTAATCATAATAATATTGCCATTGGTTTTCTCCAGATAAGGTATGGCCAGTTGTGTTAACAATAGTGTGGCATTGATATCAAGTGTTTCGGTTGACTTCAAGTTATCCATAAATTTCGGATCAGTTACGAGTGTTACGGGTAGTCCACTGGCATTGTTGACCAATATATCTAATCTTTGAAATGTTTCGATAGTTTTATTCAACAATTGTTTCAATTCATCCGATTTGGTTAGATCTGCGATCACCTCCAATGGCTAACAAACATAATAATTATAATTATATTTTTTAATTATTAATTAATTAATCTATTAGTTAATTAATTACATATTATTAATAAAAAAATTCAAAAAATTATTGTAATTAATTAATAAAATAAACATAAAAATTATAGATTTATTAATTATTTTACTTATTATTCTTAACTTAACTTTTAATTATTTTAGATATTTTAAAAAATTATTTCACTAAATTAATAATAATAACTAATAAATTAATTAAAATAAAAATTGTAATAATTTTATAAAATCTAAATCTGAAAATTAATTTATAATACTATAAATACCTTAAGTTTTTTAGGCGACAATTGTTGACAATCGACAGCCACTTTGTGTACAGCATCTGCCGATCTACTGGTGACGACTACATTAGCTCCCAGTGCTGAATATAGTTTAACAATTGCTGAACCGATACCACTACCCGATCCCGTAACCAATACTACTTTTCCCGAAAAGTTTCGCGAATTTCTCACTTCATCGTAGAAATCAGTATTTGATGTCATTTTTGTTGTTGTCGATTATATAATAATTGTTTTATTTTCTATCTATTAAATAGATTTTAATATAAAAACTAATTAAATATTTTTTTTTTTTGATTTACTAATCGATTGCTATACTTAACAAACAATACCTTTTCTTTCACTGACTATTCAAACAATTATAGTTTAATTTTATTAGTAATAATAACTTAATATTTTTGTATTTAAGAAAAAATATATTTATATGTTATATTTATATGTATTTGTTAACTGGTTTTTTTTATAGTTAAACCTTGATATTATTGACTTAATAGTAATTAATTAATTTGTAAATTGCTTATTCACAGTTATATTACATTTTTTTATTATAATAAAATTAAACATAATATAGTTTTATATATCAAATATTGAATATAAACTAAAATAATTAATATTATTACAATAATTATAATTAATTCATTAATAATTAATTATATTATTATAATTTATTTAGATAATTATTAACTATATATTTATCAATTTTCAATCAGTATTTATTAATTAGTAGATTGTTTTATTTTTAATTATAAATTTTATTATTATTGTAGAAATCGTAGATAATATATAAATAAAATACTAATAAAATTAGTCAAAAAAATATATTATTATTATTTATTTAGATAATTATTAACTATTTATTTATTTTAATAATTAGTAGATTAATTTTTTTTAAATTACATTTTTTTTATTTATTTATAAATATATGTAATGCTCTATTTTTTAATGTCTCTATAACTAAATTAAACTATTTTTTTAATAGTTAATAATTATTGAATATTTTATTTATTATTAATAAATTTCTCAATTATATTGCATTTTTATGTTTTGTTAAATATCATAGTCTAACGTCTAATTTATTGACGTATATTTGAAAGTAATAAAAAATGTTTTGTTATTTAAATAAACTGATTATTTCTACAATTATATTACATTTTTTTTGTTGGCTGTGTTTAATATAATAGTTTTATTTTTGTTATAAATTTTTAGAAAATTAGTGTTAATTTTTTCTTAAATAAAATTATATATGTATTTTTATCTAAATTTATTTGAAGTAAACAATTGATTAAATATGAAAATATATTTATATATAAAAAACAAAAACATTTATTATTGTTTATACTTAAATAAATAAATTATATTTAATTTAAAAATATGTACTAATTTTACTGATAAACAATTACAAAGTCACAAAATAATTTAGTAAATAAATAACATAATATAAATATAGTTTTAAATTTTTTTTTGTTAATTAACAAAATTAATATGAATATTTAAATAAAATTTTTTTAAAAAACGAACTTATTTGAAAATTTTGAAAAAAAACATATTATAATGATAAACATAATCCAAATAAAATTATTAAAAGTCACATAAAAACCATTATAATAAATAATTATTTAAAAACAAAATATATGCTTATATATTAAATTAATTTACTAAAATAATAAACTAAAAATTAATTAGAATAATAATAATAATAAATTTCATAAAAAAATATTATTATATTAATAAAATATAAATCCATTAAAAAAGTGAGAGTCTTAAACAGCGGCGCCGACGACGACAGCGGCAATGCTTTTAATTTCAATTATCTGGTCAACAATACGTTGGACTTAAAAGTGACCAAGGGCAATGTTGTAGATAATTTTAAACTGGATAAGATTGTAATTGCTCATTTTTTTAATTAATTGCATCATTGGGCAGATAATTGCAGTCGACTATCATTTTTACAATTTTTTAACAGTCGACTGTATATTATTTACCAAATCATATAATTAATTAAAAAATGACCAATTACAATATTATCCAGTTTAAAATTATCTGCAACATTGCCACCTTGGTCACTTTTAAGTCCAACGTATTGTTGACCAGATAATTGAAATTAAAAGCATCGCCGCTGTCGTCGTCGGCGCCGCTGTTTAAGACTCTCTCATTAAAAAATAATATTGAAATTTAAATAAAACAAATTATTTGTAATTAAAAATTGAAAATAAAACAATTAATTTGTTTCGCAAAATAATATGTTTTCACATCATATTCTCCAATCGTTTAATTCTCTGTTGAATTTGTCTAACCATATCCTTTAGCTCCTGTATCTCATTAGCCCTGTCCTCGACTACCACAGCTTCTGTATTGACTAAATGGTCGGTCGTCGGCTGATTGCTGTTAATAATAATAAATATTTTTATTTATTTAATTTTTTTGAAATTATTGAATATTGTTGTCATTATGTCATTATAATATATATATAATTAATTTAATAGATAATAATTAAATGTAATTTTATGGATAATAATTAAATCTAAATCTAATAAATAATAATTAAAATATAATTTAAATAACTAATAATTAGATGTAATTTAAATTAAATAATAATTATATTTAATTGAATTTAATAGATATTAATTAAACTAAATATAATAATAATAATAATTTTATTTAATTATAAAAATAAATGATTAGTTATTAACTTAATTTCAAATGTTTTATAACATACGTATAGTTGTTGTTGTTGTTGTCCATCGATTGACTGCCAATTGTTTTATCATCGATTTGGTTATTATCATCAGTGATAGACTCATCAACCAATTGGCCAATTGATTGACTACCAGTCCATTGGCTATCGGTATCCGATTCGACCAAAATGTCGGCCAACAACTTGTCTCTTACAGACAACGCATTCATAATATGTTTGCTTTTGTTTGCAAAACATGCCATCATTTTTCCAGTAGTTGTTATTACATCACTTAATAAGTTTACAAAAAAAAACCAAAATTATATTATTTAATGTAAACTTTATTTATTTAGTTTTTTTTTATAATTTAAAAATATTAAATACTTGTTATCTTTGTTTGTGTTGTTGGAAGTGATGATAGCATCGGTTATAGTTTTGATTTGATTAGTAAAACTTTCTTTCATTGTTTCATTGAAATTGGTAGACAATTCAGTGAATTTTTCATCCAATAAATTACTAATAAATTATATATTTATATAACAATTAAAAAAAAAATATTTTAATTAAAAAATATTTATAAAAATACTTATTTTCTTTGCTGTTGTTATTTGAAGTATTGGTTATGGTTTGGGTTTGATTAGTAGCGAAACACTGATTGATTGTTTGCAACAATTGTTGATTGTTTTTGGATATTGTTTCCGATAATTTTGTAAACTTTACATCCAATAAATTGCTAAATAAAATTTTTAAAAAAAAATTTTTTTTAACAATTAAAAAAATAATTATATAAATTTAAATAATTAATTATAATACAAAAAATCTATAAAATACTTATTTTCTTCTATAATATTGTTGTTAGCAGTGATTAGTTTGTCGGTCATGACTTTGATTTGATTACAGAAATATTTTTTGTTTGTTTCAGACAAATCTGTATTCAATTTAGATATTGTTTGCAACATTTCTGTCAATTTTCTGTTTAATACACAACTAATAATAATAATAATAATAATTATTTTAAAAATCTATAAATTAACTAAAAAAAACTTAAATTCTAAAATCTAAATTAGTCTAAAAAATATATAAAATATTACTTATTGTTATTGTTTGCAGTGTTTATGGCATTTGTTATGGATTTTGTTTGATTAACAAAATTTAAATTTAATTTATCAAATAATTCATTATTTTTTGTCGCCATTAGTTCAGACATTTTACTCATTTTTGAATTTGTTCTAAAAATAATTTTTATTATATTAGTTAAAATATTTTAAGCATTTTTTAAGCATTTTTTTAAGCAAATTCAATTTAAGCACTTTTTATATAAAGAGCCAGTCAATTGATCTTGCGCCACGTAATTTTTGAATAACTTTTAAACGGTAAGAGATAATTTAATTCTGTAAAATACATTTAAGAATATCATATCGACCACACTTAATATACACACAATCGCAAAACTAGGATTACCAGATATACAAAATATCAGGACCAACGAAAGACACTATGCTACAGGTCAAACCACAACTGATAAATTTATTATGACAATGAAACTTTCTAGTCAAGAAATAATAGTTTAATATAAAAAAAATCATCAAAATCGAATTGGTAGTTTAGTTTTTATGGCTTTTAAGTTTATCATAAATCTTATTATATAATAAAGTCTAAAATAAAAATGACGTTATTTATGAATATTATATACTTATTAGATTTAATTTTAAATTATATTACTATTTCTAAAAACAAAATTTTAATATATCGACTAGTTTTCAAAATAATCGAATTTGAATTTAAATCACATTATTGTAATTTGATAATATAATTTATATTAAAATTCGATTATTTTGAAAACTAGACGTATTAAAATTTTGTTTTTATAATTAGTAATATAATTGAAAATTTTATCTTATAAATATATAATAGTCATAAATAACGTATAATATGATTTATGACAAACTTAACAAGTCATAAAAACTAAACTACCAATTCGATTTTGATGATTCTTTTTTTATATTAAATTATTATTTCTTGACTACAAAGTTTCATTGTCATAATAAATTTATCAGTTGTGGTTTGATCTGTAGCATAGTGTCTTTCGTTGGTCCTGATATTTTGTATATCTGGTCATCCTAGTTTTGCGATTGTGTGTAAATAAAGTGTGGTCGATATAATATTCTTAAATGTATTTTACAGAATTAAATTTTCTCTTACCGTTTAAAAGTTATTCAAAAATTACGTGGCGCAAGATCAATTGACTGGCTCTTTATGTAATTTATTTAGATATAACATACTTAAATAAATTAAAGTATAAAAATTGATGTAATTTTAAAAATATTTTATAAAATATGTTATTTGTAGTTATTTAAAAAACAATTAGTTTACTTATAGCGTTAATTTAAATAAATAAAATATATGTTAAAATATATCAAAAATCAACAGTAAAAAAGAAACAAAAATATGTAAAAATTTACTTATGTTTAGCTATTATTTGCTTTAATAAATTTTCATTAATTCCCGAAAACTCGTCAACTTTTTGGCCATTTTTAATGAACATAAATGTCGGCATTACTGTCACATTATAGTTGATGGCAATGTCCTAATTAAAAAAATAAATAAATCTGAGAATCATTAAATAACCCATACTTTATAATAATTAAGATTATTATTATTCCTAATAAATATATTTACATATTAAATAAAAATTCAATTCATATAATATATTAATTCAAATAAATTTATATAATCTTAATTAATTTAATAATTTAAAAACTAAATACAACTAGTTATAAAATGTAAATCTTAAAAAATTAATATATGATTTTTTTTTAAAAAACCTCATTTTCATCGACATCCACCCTTAAAAAGACAACATCTGCCGCCATATCTATACTAAGTTTGTCGATAACTGGTCTAATCATTTTAGATGAACCACTGTATGTTGCAAAAAATTCAACCACCACTAGTTTTGTCCCGGCAGATGATAACTGGATAGTGCAATCATCCTAAATATATATATATATTATAGTCGCATAACTTTCTAAATATGGGAAGGTATGCGAGCTATGCCATCATTGGATTGGAGATGTACGTGTCGTTGCTATATATAGTAATGACACGTACGTGCCCAACCCAATGGCAGTGGTATAAAACTGTTGGCTTCGCGAACCAACAGTCAAGTATCTAATAATCTGAGTAGTCGTATAATGTTGTTTTAAGTCAAATCTAGTCAGTTATTACTAGTAGGTTATTATTGTATTTATTTTGATTGATAAAAAGTCTGTAATAAAAAAGTTTTAAAATGTAATAATTAATTTAATAAATTATTAACAGCGGCACACGCCGCTACCGCCACCGCAGCCGCCGCAATTGGTCACATTTACCGTAAACATTGCTAGCATCGCCAGCAAGTTAAGTAATTTTTGTAATCAACCGTAACCGGCGATTTCGTACGGTTATATTCAGAAGTGTGGGATATAAATGCCCAAAAGTCTTACATTCGCTATAACCAAAAAATAATAATAACATTAAAAAAAATTATAGAAAAAAAACCAAATATTTAATATTAAACTATTATAAAAAAACAGACATTTTTGTTGACACATTTTACTTGACACATGTTACTAAGTATGTTATGTGAATTGCTAATCTTATTTTTAAATTTAAAATACAAATTCTTTATTTGTTAAAAAAATCTGAATTATAAATAATTGTTAATAAATATTTTTTTATACTAAATAAAATTTAATTATCGGTTTATTCTAAAAATAAGTATTAATAACAATACTGTGTAATAATTTTTGTGGTTTAGCTAATGCTTTAAATAATTATTGTTTATAATAATTATAAGCTTAATACTTATTTTTGTTTTTTTAATTCACTACAAAAAAGAACAAGAAAAACATTTTGTTTAGAAATCAGATAAAAATTATAATTATATCAAAATAATTTTAACAGTAATTTCTTATTAATATTTTTTTATGAAGTTTTTTTTGCTTTTTATTTACTAAATTCAAACGTGAATATAAAATTTTTGTTTATTTAACATATTTCATAAAAACAATAATATAATACAAAATAGTATTAAAATATAAAATAATTAAATTAAACTATACTACATTTATTTGATTTGATGTTACAATGATTTTTTTTTCTTAATCAATGCCTTAATCAATGTATAATTATTTTGTCTGAATTGTATTTTTAGAGAAAAAATTTTTTTTCATATAATTTGTAGGTTATAAATACACTATCTTATTTTTAAAACATTGAAAATAACATTTTTGTAAATATTTATTTTTAATTTTTACGAAAATTACAGTATATTTTGAAAAAAATATTTATTGTATATTAGTTATGTTGACTTGTAGTTTACAAAATATATACGTTATACTTTGACTAAAATAACTTTTATTGAATTTGTTTAGTTAAGTAAATGTTGTTTATTTTTGGACTGATATTTAAAAATATTTGCCATATGTTGTTATATTGCATACAAAATTGTTATAAAAAAAATTAAAAATTATAATAATGACATTAGTTTAATGAGGATAAAGTTATATTATTATTGAACTATACTGATTTGGATAATGTATAATTATATATAAAAAAAAAGTTGGTTTTTAATAGCACCACTAGATTTGTATGTTAATTGTTTTACATACAAGAAAAAAAATAATAAATTATAGATTCAAATATTTTTTTCTTACATTTTTGCTTAAGTACTAGAGTAACTAATATAAAAACACATAAGTATACTAACATTTTATTTTGTTTGTGACAAACTAAATTTATTAAGAAAATAAAATGTTTACTTTTATTTTACAAAAACTTGAGTAAACTTATGTTTACTTTCTTATAATGTTTATATAAAAATATATGTTAATACTTTTAAGAAATATTTTATTTTATTTTAACTATGCAATTGAACTTAAAATAAGTTAAATACACATATGGTATAGTTATATTGTTTAATAAATTATATTTCTATTACATTGGCATTGAAATCTAATAAAATTTTTGCATATTTTCCAAAAAATTTGTTTAAACTTTTTTTTGAAAAATATGTTTTATTTTTGTTATGAGTATACTTAAATAATTGATTTTATTACAAACAATGTTAGTATTCAATATTAAATTTAACTAAGTATTTGTTACACTTATAAATAGGGTTATTATTTAGAATAATAATAAAATATTGATAATACTACCAATTACGTAAACAACAAAAATAAACAACTAAAGTTAATAAATACAATGTGCTATTTTTTTTGAATTTTTGTTTAATTTAATAACAAGTATTGTTTTTATTTATCAATCTATATTGAAAACCTTATGCTGTATATCGGTAAAATAAATACACTATAGATTAGGCAAACCTTTTTATTAAATAACATAAAATAATTTATAATAACTTTTATAAAACTAATACTATACTATTTATTATTTGTTGTTCAAGTTATGTATTATTTTAATGAATTGTAGTTACTTTATAAAGCTCAACTAAAAATGGTTTAAAAATATTTAAAAATAATTCAATTAAACAGATGTTGTTTATTTTAGTAATGCCTTTAAAAATAGATTTTGCTTAAATCTTATTTAATGTTAAATTACATGAGTAATTATTATTACAATTACAGTATAATTAATAATTATATGATAAATGGTAAATATTTGTTTTTTCATTTTTATAATAAGGAAATTAATTTTTATATTGAATATTGGTTTAAATAATTAATTATAATAATAGTAAAAACTATTATTATAGTTACCAGTTATTTATTAAATATCTAAAGCATTTCAGATATTATAAAAAGACTTTACGTATATTTTAGCTTATAATATTGATTAGTATAAGATATCGATTAGTGTAGGATATTGATAAGAGAAATACATTATTTATATATCGATTTATTTTTATAAATAGATTAATGTAATATATCGATTAGTGTTATATATCGATTAATGTTATTTATCGATTAGTGTTATATATCGATTAGTGTTATATATCGATTAGTGTTATATATCGATAAGTGTTATATATCGATTAATGTTATTTATCCATTAGTGTTATATATCGATTAGTGTTATATATCGATTAGTGTTATATATCGATTAATGTTATTTATCGATTAGTGTTATATATCGATTAGTGTTATATATCGATTAGTGTTATATATCGTTTAATGTTCTAAGTCGCGTAGTATACTATATTGATTGGTTTTATGTATCGATTAATTTTCGGTATCGATTAGCTATCTGTATCGTTAACTTTTCTGTACCGATTAAAGAAATGGCATTATATACACAATTTCTATAGTGTATATATTTCATTAAGAGATATTATTAACTCAGATAGATTTTTTTTTCAAAAGTTTTTTGTTATGTAATTTTAAGTTTAAATTATATTTTTTTTTGTTATAGCAGATATATTAGTAATTTTATTATCACTATGATAGTTAAATAAAAAAACAGAAAAATTTCAATAATTAATAATTTTATAAACAAAATAATGTTATATACAATTAGTTTTAAAATTTAGTATATTTATTGTAAAGTTAGTAAAGAAAAATATAGTAATATTAAATATTTTATGACTTTACATATAACTTTAAAATTAAGATAAATTATAAATTGTTTTCATTTAAGATTATTTTTATATATAACTGATTGAAAAATTTTGCATTTTAAACAAAATTATTATTTTTGTTTATTACATTTCTCGAAGAATATATTGATATAAAAATAAATGTTTTTTTTGAAAGCAGTTTGTGTACATTGAAAAAAAAAATTCTTTGGCAAAAGCACGTAACATTTTAAAATTTATTAATAAATAAATTTAGTTAAGAAAGTTATTTTTTTTTAAATAGAAAAATTTAATATATATAATAATTAAATGTAAGTCAGAATATTACATTATATTTTGTACAGTATTTTTATTTAAAAATTTTTTTTAGTGAATTTATTTTTAAGCTATAATAAATAAATTGAAAAAAAATACATATATAATTATTTTGCCAGAATTTCTTTACAAAAAAATGGGTTGTTTATTTTAATAAAATGTTTATATTACAATGTATATGTTAGTTATTTTTAGACACATTTTGTGTTAAACTTCCACTATAAGACACATACAGTATATGTACTAAAATTTTACTACAAGAAAAAATTATTTGTAAAATTTTATTATTGATATTTAAAATATACAAAACTTTATTTCTCAAAATTTAGTAGTTTAGAAAAGTAGTTTATTAGTAAAACAAGACTATTATTAATTCAATATTTAATTAACAATTTTATTTGCTCATAATTTTTTATTATCAAACTGACTGAAATATTGTTTTATTTTGTAATATTTTATCAATTATTGTGTAATAAATATTTTTTTTGTTGACATTATTATTAAGAAAGTGAAACTACTGTTATAATTTTATACTGATTTTAATAATAATAAAGTGATATAATATACAGTAACATATAATGTAAACTGTAATACAATAATATAGTGTCAATTATATTTTAAATATTTATTAAGTAGTTTTGATTATTAATAGTGACAAAAAAAATAATATTTTATATAACTTGTAAATTTATTTTATAATTTAATTTATAGATTAATTTAATTGAAATGTAATATAAACATTTATAATTATTATTTTTTTGTATAACTATATAAAAATAATTTGAAAATATCAATATTATGGAAAATTGTATTTTATTGATATGGTAAAATTAGTTTTTAATGAAAAAAAGTTATTGTTTGTTAAAATTTAATAATAATATGATATAAAATAAAGTTGATATTTTATTATAAGTGGTTAATAATTATTATAAAAATTATTATCAACTATTAATAAAATTTCAAATTAACAAATTTAACAGATTTAATGAATATTTATTTTTTTTCTTTTTATTATTCAGT